TATGTATATATATATATATATATATATATATAAATCTATGACTTCAAAAGTACAACATGTTCAACGAAAAGAATAAAAAGAACCTAAAAATTGAATTCGTCGAAGTTTTTTTTTTTAACTCAACTTCACCGTCAAAATACATTCTCCAAAGGTAAAGGGATGTTTGTCTTGAATTGAATACGTCTCTAGAGTCTCATAAAATTTTGATATCTATGTAATATTTTGAAATAAGCGCTCTGTCATAAAGTAATACATCAATTAGGAGAATGTTTAACTATTTTATTCTTATTTATATTCTAAAATACAGTCTTTCTTCATTGAATATATTTACTTGATTTATATGTCATAATTTATGTGTTTATAGTTTTTAAGAATAATTACAATTAAAGACAATTAACCTGAGAAAAAAATCTTAATTTTATTTTAAGCTTCTAAAATATCAATATTTTAATTAAGTACAACAACTATTTTGAGCGAAAATAGTATAAAAAGGATCATTCACAATAGAAAAAATTGAAATATTTTGTGTGGTATCCTCTTTTGGGAGATAATTTAATGAAATAAAATGTACCCGTCCAGTACAAAGTGGAGTTCTAAAGTTTATAAACCATCTAATTAATTAATTAACTAATTAAAACATTGGTAATAATAATACTACATAATTTATTGATCATTTTAACATATCTTATAATTCTTGCAGAGATCCCTGTTTACTTGACGACGTATACAATTTTCTAATTCTTGTCGATTCATTCCACTGCATGCCGTTGGGGTTGCTGCAAAATAATAATAATAACAATAATATTAATAACAATAATAATAATTATATAATTTTTGTTGATGGCAGGGTTCAAACCCACAACGCTAGCGTGAAAAGCATTTTCACGGTCCTTTTTTGCCATCGAACTGTCAATCAGTTTTGTTAAGGGATTCACAAAATAATATAGTCAATAGATGCATATTTTATTTAATTTTCTAATACAAATACAGGATCAACGAACCCCCACTTAATTCCTCCCTTGCTCATATATGATATATCTTCTCACAAAATATTTACTTATAAAATCTTGTGATTCTGCAAATTTTGAGATATAATCCGATCTATTCTACATTGTGATCAGTAAGCAATAACATTTCAAAGACAACTGAGTTGTAAGGTAAACAAGACTCTAGTTTCAATTTAAGGGTCTATTCAACAAGATGGATCAATTTTTATTCAGAAATCATGTATGTTGTGGACAACCTTCCTTGCAATTTTTCTAATAGCTTTCTCCTATTGATTTTATTTTCATTATATCTTACACTAAGGGTGTACACTGTTCGGATTAAACCAAAATACCAAACCATATTGAATGGAATTCTAATTTGGATTGGTTTGTTGGTTTGATTTTTTTATTAAGAATTTACTTTGTTTGATTTTTTGGTTTGATTTCGGATTTAAAAAATAATAAAAAAACTGAAAAAATCAATTATATCTATAATTTTAGTTATAATATTTAATTTTAGAATTAAGTTGGAGTTAACCACTTTCGCCCCTTTTTAGTTTTTGTCTTTCATTATGATTTAGTTTATATATTTTTTCTTTGAACATCTATATTTGGTATACTTTTAATTATTGTGTTTTAAGTTTAACTTGTGAGTTATATTAGATAGTATAATTAAGTAATTCAATATTATATACTTTTCTATATATATATATATATATTTATTTTTTTAAAGAATATTCCACTAAGATCCCGTCCTTCAGTTATTGGTGAGCCATACGAAAAGAATGAGACTATAAATGCGTGAATTCATATTTAATCGGATTTTAATATAAACACGAGATATCGAGTGAAAAATCAAAAAATATAGAAAGATATTGGAGAGAATTTTACCAGGGGGTGGGTGTATAACAGCAGGTGGTGGGTGTTGATCAGTTGCTGAATGATCTGGTTTAGAGGAATGAGGTCGCATTGGAATTCCAACATACTCTGTTATCATAGAAAATTAAATTAAATTCAATCATATAAAATTAATTTATCTAACTTGATAAGTAATTTAAATTTATTATATAGATTCTCAAAATATTGAAAAGTTTCCTAAATTTTCGGTATGAAAAATTATCAATTTTTTTCTCACTAATTCAATTAAAATATTTATAAAAATAGCACTGAATATTTCTTGATGAGAAATTATTAAGTTGTGCAGAAATTCATAATGATATAATATGGTTATAAAATAACAATTTCTATTTTAAATAATTAAGGAGGTTAATAAGACCCGTGTATAGAATAAATATAGTTAATTATTCTCAATTATTAAATAAGAAAATAGATTTTATCATAACACATAGCTAATTGAATAATTCAATACTTAATAATTTATTAAATTTATAAATATCATAATAAAAAGAATCAAAATTGTACATATCATTTGAATTAAAGATTAAATATGCTTAATCAGAAATTACAACGACAAAAATAATAAAACTTTATATTTACCTGGTGGTATTGCTGGTGAGCTAGCATCATTATAATCATTATTATTACCCTGATAATCATCATTATCATCATCAGCCATAATAACCCTACGTGCTGTAACAAAGAAAATTTATGCTATAAATATATAATCTTCCCGTTTTAATTTATGTGACTTGATCTAAAGTATTAGGAGGTCAAACTAAAAACATAGAAATAAAAATATATCCAGTGTAAATTTTGTGTAATTTCACAAAGTAGGATTTGATGAGGGTAAAATATATAGAGACTTTACCCCTAGTCCCCTACCATAGAGATAGAGATGTCGTTTATGATAAACTCTTGACTCAAGGAAAAACAGTATGGAAAAAGAAATAACAAAGGTAAAGAAGTACTCAAGGCAAATACTATAAAAAATATATGATAATTAATCATTCCGAACAGTAACTATAACAAAATAATATGATAATCGAAGTACAAGAAACAATAGATAATAATAGAAATTGAAGGACGAGAAACTACAGATGCAATGCTACGAATACTAGTATGAAAGGATAAGCAAGACTACACTCAACTATCTACTAACCTTCTACCTTAATCTGTGTCCCTCCACCAAAATAAAATTTACATGCATAGCTAAACATTATATACGAATTGTCATGTAATATAAATCATTATACAATTCAAAGCATCTGAAAAAAATCATGGTTAAATCAAAGGGAGTTAGAACAACAATTAATAATAAAATGAAAAGTAATAATTTAGGGGGAAAACAAGTATATTATAGAGTGAAGGGATTAATAAACCTTGTAATAATCTTGTAGAGGATGTTGTTGAGGATAAACAAAAAATTAAGAAAAAAATGGCTATGAATAAAAAAGAGAATGTTTTGTGAATCATGGCTTTTAAAATCTAAAAGATTGAGGTGTTTATTTAATCAAATAATAAGCTTAAATATTACAATTTTGATAAGGAATTTGGAAATGTATGGACAACCATTTATTAGAAAATTCTTATTTTCTTTGCCCAAATTATGTGGCTTGACTTTGAAGTCTTTTGCTAAAAATTAAATTTATAATTTATATGTTAAGTCTTCCCAATTGTTGATGACTATGATAGGAACAAGTCAATATATAAATCTAAAGTATCACTATAACAACAACGTAACGTAACGAAATTATTTACAAACTTTCATCGCTTGTCTGTTATTAGATATTTCCCAACTGACATTTTTTTTTATTATATGTCTCTAATCTATCGTTTAATATGATTGGTAATGGATTTTTTACTACTTAGAAATAAAAGTTATATGTCTCCATAACTCTAGTTAAGAGGGGAGTAATCCCACCAATGCATCATAACCGATCATTTTTACTAAATTACTAACTAATATTGGTGATTAGACTCGAATTATTGTAAATATTTTTACTTGGACCTAATTGTCCATTGGATATTATTTGGTTTAGCTAGTGTGTGCTTATTCTTGTGGGAATAATATATAGGTCCCCAGCTGAGCGACTATTAGAAATAACCTTCATCTTCACGTAAAGTAGAAGTAAAGTTTGTGTACAATCTATCTACCTCAGATCTTACTTATGGGATCTGACAAGTTTTGTTAGTTGAAGTCGATAATTTTTGGATAATTTTTGGTTGGAACATAAATAAATAGGATTAACTAAAGCGTGTGTTATAGTATTTTGTTAAGCGCATTTAACTTTCAATTAACTAAAATGTGTGTTGTCGGGCTTACACCAAAAATCACAAGGTCCTAAATAAAAAAATACCAATTATTTGAAGGACTAGAAGTGTTAATTACCCTTAATTAATATAAGTATTATTTCCTTATTAATTACAAAGTGCAAGCATAATTTAACGCAATTAACAAAAGTATTATTTATTACTAGCTTAACTCCATTGAAGATCTATCATGGAGTAAGCAATTTTAGAATATCCAAACATACAATTGTCCAGCAACATATATATTTAAACATAAATACAATATAAAATTCTTGCTTAATATTTTTTTTTTGTTACTCAAACTCTTCTCAAGATCCATTATCTGCAAACATGTAAAGATGAAAGGGTGTAAATATTGTTAGCGTAAATAATTTTTAGACATAATACGTAAATAAATATATTTTTTATTTTAAAAAACTTTTTAAAATTGAGACAGATAAAATAACAGATTTTACGTAAAATTTTTACCAGGTGGTGATATTGGCTTTCGAGGTGCGATTACTGGTCTCATACGAACTACAAAGAGTGATCTACGTGGTGAACACGATTCTTCTCCATATTTATAGCCACCACATCTATAACCTATATTCAGAGAGGAATTAAATTATACATATACAAGTAATATTTAAATTCGAAAAAAGTACTATAAAAATTGAAACACTTGTTTGAATTGGCTAACTATGAAAAACAAATACATTTTTTTTTATGTTGAGTTGTGTTTGATTATATTTTATAAAACATATTTAGAATTTGAATACACTTTTTCTAAATATGGTTTATACTTTCAAATTCTAAAAAGCATAATACATAAACATGTTCTCTAACTTGATTTCAATTTTCAGCTGATATATTGCCGTTCAGTTTTGGGTGTGCACAAGTAGACACTTAAACTTATACAAATTTAGCTCTTACGTGTGTCAATGGGAGTGTATCTCACATGAATTATCATGTAGGATATATGTGTTTATGAGTACAATTTTACACAAGTTTAAGTGTCTATGTATGCACATTCAAAATTGGAGAGCATAAATTTAAGCCGATTGATCAAATTAAAAGATATATATATATATATATATATATATATATAAACAATGTAATTTTTTTTACTGAAGAGGATTTGGACGAACCCTCTCGAGTCTCGACCTTATCTAGCTCCGCCCTTACATTACATTACAATAAAGGGATTAATACTACACCTGGCAATCTCCTAGAGGTTGTTGAAGATAGACAGAGGATTATGACAAAACAAGCTAAAAATAATGCTTTGTGATTCATGGAGATCAAAGGGGAATTAATTCTCTTATATGAGGTGATTTATGTTATATTATATGAATCAATAAGCTTATATTCTAGTCCTTTTATAATATTTCTCAATGGAACATTCATAAACGTGTGGACCCTTTAATGTAGAAAAATAAAATAAATTTCACTTTAATTTTTTCTTTTTGGTGCTTGACTTGGAGTCTTTTGGCTAACATTTAAGACTCGTTTGGTGGAATATATGTATGACAATTGCTTAATTATCATTACTTTTCAAAAGTAATTAACACTTTTTATAAATGTTTCTAAAGTTCATCGCAATATTGGATCTAATAACAATTAATTAATGCTGGTAAATGTTTTAACACTCTTTGTTAATGTATTTATTACCGCTAAAAATTATTTTATTATCGTAGTGACTTGGATTCTTGGGCTAGCGTTTAAGGAACTTACGTAAATATATCCTTCGGCTAATTAGTTTATTATTATGATTGAAGTATACATTGTTTATATATTGTAGTTGTATGTATTCTGTATATATTATATGTATAATATAAGCATATTTTTATTTTTATTTAATATAAAGTATACTTCATCCATATATGTATTAATGATATTTCATACATCTTATTGATACAAAGCATCGAGTATAGTCAGGGCGGAGGCAACATATACTTGGGTTTCATCCGAACCTCCTCGGCGGAAAAAAATAGTATTTATATATGGTTAAAATTATTTTTTAGGTATGTATAATAGATGTCGAATCCCCTTCCACTAGTTCGTGTGTTTACTTCTCAGATATTGAATCCCCTTATTAAAAATTCTGGCTCCGTCACTGAGTATAGTGGTACATCATTGAGAAATCCCAAAAGAAAATACAACACAATAGTACTGGTAATAAATTAAACTCATACATATAGAAAAAAATAGTCCACTACATAAAACATCTCATATGAGCAGGACTTGGAGAATGACCACACGTCCACACCCATAGCACTTACGCTAATACAAATATTAATGACTAATTTTAATTACTATTCAAATTCATAACTTATAGATTACACGAAGATAATTTTTCTATTGCTTCAAAACTACGGTTAAAAAACACACATACTCATATTTTATTTTTAGTACACTACCTCTTTTTTATGGTTTCATTTTATGACAGTTGGTTAAACTCTTGCAGGGTTTTTCAATACGTGGCGGTTTCTTATTGGCAATACATTTGCCAATTATATTCTTCTTGCATATTGGTTCTTTTTGTGATGGACGATATGGTAAACTTCCTTGAGGGACTTTTCTATCTTCTTCTGCAAATATTAATTCCAAAAAAAAATAAAAAAAAATAAGCATAAAATATTATTTCTCAAAAAATTAAACCAACGAAGGTATATTAATGCAATTAAAATATGACATTATCTTTTGTTCTAGATTTTATATGTCAATATTGTTGTTTGTAAAGTATAATAGTTTAATTTTTATATATTGACAATCTTCGTACATAAGATTTTCATAGACTTTTGAACGTAAAAAATGTGATTTTCAAAAAATAGTTGATTCTTTTTATTTTTATTTTTTATCTTGAAGGTTAAAGTTGTGTTTGGACATTTATAATTTTCACTTAAAAGAACTTGTCAAAACTATTATTTTTTTCAAAATTGAAACTCATCTTTAAATTTATTTTTAAAAAAATCAACTCAATATATAGCCAAACAATGTTTTCAAATTCCCTGTTTTTTTTTTAGAGAAATAGAAAAAAAAATCATGGACAAGTAGGCCCTTCAACTTAATTCAACTAAAAGATCAATATTTTTCCCCTCTTGGGTTTTAAGGTAAAAGGGAAGAAAAGTATTCCGAGCGATCGAAGTTGTGGCAAAGTAGTAATTATACTTTTTCTTAATCATAAATCTTGAGTTTGAGCCCTTTGTATGAAAATTATCTTTGTTAAAAAAATATTTCACCCTCAATATAAAATTTCCAACGCAAATCCAAATTTAATCAGACCTTCATATTGGACAACTTATAAGAAACAAAAAGAAAAAGAAAAAAGAAGGGATTACCATACCTAACAATCTCCTGGAGGTTGCTGAGGAAAAACAAAAAATTAAGACAAAAAAAGCTATGAATAATAAAGAAAAGGCTTTGTGATTCATGACTTAAAAGCTATGGAGAAAAGGGAATTTTCTACAAGATATGTATATGATGTATTGCTTAATTAATCAATAAACTTATAGCTAGCCCTTTTATAATATTCCTAAAGGGGCAATGCTAAGGAATTCACAAATGTGTGGACCATTTAATTTTAGATTTTATCTTGATATTGTTATAAAAATAATGTCATAATTATTAATTAATGGCATATATAATTCCATATTGTTTATTCAAAACATATCAAATGAGTAGATGCATGACATACTATATTATACGCAGGGGGCGTAGGGAGGATGGGGTCACGGGGTTCACGTGAACTCATGCTCTCCTTTCGAAATTATTTATAATAGTGTTATATTTTTTAATTTTTTTAAAAAATATAGATGTGTGAACCCACACTCGAAGTATTATGTAATACGATGATGATTTGGTGCACGAGAGGTTAGAAATTTGAATTTTATATCTATCTTGTTTTATTTTTCTTCTTAAAATTGGATAACACATCTCCAAGTGGTTCGATAGCACTTTTGGCGTTTTAACTAATATATAAGAAATTAATAGACACATTGCCTTTTTTTTTAAAAAAAAGAAGGGATAAGGGTCTGAAAAATACTCCAACTTTGGCCGGAATTGCTGTTACGATACCAAACTTTATGGAGGACCTTTTACCCCCCCCCCCCCGCACTATTTAATAATGTATTTTAAAGGTATATATGTGGCCACGTGGACATATTACTATTTATAATTATGCAATATTTATAATGTCCATGTGGTATATACCTTTAAAATACACTATTAAATAGTGCGGGGGGGCGGGGGCGGAGGTAAAGGGTTCTTTCCAAAGTTCGATATTGTTACAACAATTTCGGTCAAAGTTCGGATATATTTCAGACCTTTTTCCATATATATATATATAAAAAAAAAAATTGGACCTATAGTTTTAAAATTGTAAGTAACTGTTTTCAATGATAAGAACCTAAATGTCAAATTGATTAAATTTATATCTTAGATCCACCTTTTCATAATAATGCATTCATCATCTCGAAATTCTGGATATGCATTTGACTATACGTTTGTATATACATAAGTACTATCACTTAATTATAATTTATTGATATAAATATATTTACTCGATTAAATTGCTTAATTACAGAAGTTATATTATTTGACGTAAACATTGAATGCGAATAAATATTTTTAAAAATAACAGAAATAATAACATATAAAAGAGTCGTGTGGGGGTATTAAATATGCCTTTCTTTTTCCATTTTTTGTTTCTTTCTAGGGCTGGACTTGTCCTTGTGAAGTTGATGGATATTATTTCTATGAAAAATAGTTATGGAAAGATATTTTTAACAGGCTAATAAAAAAATAATGTAATAAAAATTGAATCAAAGTTATTAGATTATGTTAGAATCATAACAATCATTCTGACAATTTGCTCTATATATGTGTATCGAGTGTTTACATTAATTTTGATAATTATTACGATTAAATATAAATTAAGGTAATAAGTATATATGTATTTGACTATAATTTAGTAATAATTATTATATTCATATATGTATTAGATGAATTTTATCTACTAAATTTTGTATGGACTTTATTTCCCATGATATTATGCGTGCTGAATTTTGCTATCGTAGGGGTGTGCGCTAAAAAGTCTAAAGGATCGGTAACAACACACATGCTAAGACGAGTCGACCATAATAATCAATACCTAAATGAATGAAAAGATACCTTTTTTTTTGGGATAAGGGTCTGAAAAATACCCCAACTTTGATCGAATTTGTTGTTGCGATACTAAACTTTCAT